GTCTGTTTTTGTTATTTTTGTGTAGATTTATTTAGAGCTCCAAAAATTATGAAAATTTTTGTGTGACCTCTCTGTGATGAATATTATTTAGGAAAAATATGAAACTTGAAATTTGAATAAATTTTTAATGTTCAAAAATTCAGTCAATTAATTGATAAATGCAATTTCCATAATTTTGTAGGCCACTGTATAACTCCAAAAATTATGAAATTTATTTTGGTACACTAATTTGTCATGAGAAAGCTTGCATAAAATTTTGAGGTCATTTGGAGAATTTAATTTTTGAGCTTAATCCCAATTAATTCAAAAATGAATAAAAGCAAACCCTAAGTGTTGAGTTAGGATTTGATCTTGTTTTGGTCATGATTTGTGACCAGTAGGGTTTCAAGATCAATTTGGTCAAGTCACTTAGGTCATAAGCCCTAGATCATTAAAGTTTGGTTAGAGTATAGTTAATGAATGATTTCATTCATTAAGGGTAGAATTTTGGAGTGCAACTTAGGGTAATCCTTTAGAAGAATATAGGGTTTCTTAGTAAACATTTTTGTGTGATCCTTGATGGTAGAATTGCAAGTTGGTTTTTTTGGCTTGCAACTATACCGTGAAGGAAAGTTGTACTCAAGGTGTTATTACATTTCATGCACCATGAAAGCATCATGTTTACATTATCATCATGTTGAAGCATATGTTATTATTTCGTGTAGAATCCGATAGTGAACCGATCCTAGTTGAGCAAGTTGTGGAAGAATCCCCGGTTGTCTCGGGATTTGATATTTGTGGTACTGATCCAGAACCCGAGATCGTCAACGAAGGCAAGCCCCGGTTTATGCATTAAACCATTACCTTGTTTACTTTGAAAAGTTTATCACCTATGTTACTTATTGCATTAAGTTGATTAATTCAAATGTTACCTACTTGATGCATTGCCTACCTTGTTAATTGTTTACCATCCTTGAAGATGATTTCATTTACAAAGGCATAGAATTGCTTAGTATGCTTTATGGTAGGCTTTCAAAGTAAAAGTTTTGATAATATCAAAGATGGCATACTGGCCAAAAAAAGAAAGAAGATAGAATGAACTAGAGACTAGTCGGGTGACTTATCTTGAATGTTGGGTAACGTTGCCGACTATGTCGCTTAAAGGCCACTCATTGTGGATCTTCTGAATGAGACACTTTGTAGTACTGGTCACATACTCCGGTAAGCCTACTTTGGCTAATCCGATACTAAGACGAATGCCCACGCACTGGGAGTGGAGAGATGGCGGGAGTAGCGTGTACCCTCGTGGCTGGAATGTGGCCGGATTGGAGGTGTGTTGTGCTCTCGGGTGGCGTGGAGATGACTTAGTATGGGAGGATACGGTAGCGAGGTTGATATATGCAAGATTAAGTTCTACATATGTCGTGTGATAAGGAATCCCCAGCTAGGACTTGAATCAATTCGAATTGCCGGTGCTCCGCGGATATGGAGACTCGATTCATTACAGAAGCAATGCAGGACTGGTGAATTACTAAAACATGAGAAAAAGGAATGGAATGAGAAGGATTGGAATATGGGATATGAACACTTAGTTTGAGATAATGAACTAAAGTACTTAGGGGTAAAACTCGAACATAGGATCAAGAATAGTAAGCTTTTGGCAAAGAACTTTTGAATCTTGATACATCCTTACCTTGCCCCAACACCTGCATCCCTAAGACCTTCGCCCCTTTTACGTCGGGTCAGTCTTGTTGAGTACTTTTGTACTCAGGGTTTGTTAACCCTTGTTGCAGGTGAGTCGCATGCGCAGGCTTGTTTTGGTCCCTGTTGCATGTCAGTGTTTGAAGTCGATGACGATGAGGAATGATGAATGGCCTTTGGACAAGGCACTAGTTTGTGTGAAATAAATAATGTTAATGTAATATTATCCCGCTACTATGGTTGTATGACACTTATGGTTTTGTAAGTTTGAAACAACTAGTTTGTAATATTAAAACATAAGTCTTACGCTTTACAATCTCTGGTATGTATATCGAAAACTGTTGTAATCTGCAATGTCTGTGATTGGGATCCTATTTGAAAAAGATTCGTGGATGATTCGGGTTTCCCGAGGACACCCGACAGACCTGTTAAGTTGTTGGGAACTCATGTACGCTATCAGAGATCTGTTGAGACATCGATAGGTGCACGTGGGCCCAATTTCTTAGGAGGTTCTGCCACACTTTCTTCGTTTGCCTTTTCTCGCTCGGACAGGATCTGCAGCTGCCCTCAGCCCTCGCCGCAGAGTGTGAGTTCTCTAGCTCCGCCACCCCTTTGCTTAGAGCATAGAGGGCTTGAGCTCGCCTTCACCAGGGGGGACAGACCCTTGGCTCGACCAAAGGGGCTCGATCGCATGAGCTCGCGCTTGCTGTCTCCATGGAGGGCCGCCACGGGCGAAGCCTAGGCACGTCCGGAGGGCCCCTGTCACCCTCGTCATAAAGGTTTGTGAGCTCATGCCGCCACGCCAGCCGTAGTTGCCCCCGCCACCCTGGCTGATGACTAGACCTAAGCAAATTGAGCCCCGCTGAGCCCGCTGGGTTTTAGCCCATCCATGAGCCTTAGTGGACAGGGCCTAGGCATAGATCCCGCTATCTAGAAAAATGTTTCTAGGCCCGAGCCCAACCCAAAATATTTATTTTAGCTACTTTACACTATAAAATGCGCGGGTAACCCGCCCAGGCCGGAGCCCCGCCTAGAAAATTAAGCCCGACTCGTATAGGGGGACGGTCATGGGTGGGATTTTTTTAGCCCAACACAAACGGGATTTTTTATGGCCCGACCTGAACTAGACCCGGCCCGCAAAATGCTCATGTCTACCGATGATCCTCTCCCCCGCTACAACCAGGGCCACCGTAGCCGCCCCTACCGTCGTTAATGTAGCTTTCACCTAGAAGTATTCTAAGGTATCTATTTTCATAGGGAATGTGAAGTGAGCTTAACGAAGAACTAAGTTCGTCCTAGGATGACATAAGGGTAAATAATAGATTGGGTAGAGAGGATTTCTATGGTTATAAAACTAGATAGGTAAGATAGATACAAAGGTTGTTCACTTCGGGTCACTAGATGCCGCTTAGCAATGGAAAGGGATGAGAAGAGTGCTAAACCGCCAGCAGAGAAGACCTATGTTTTAAGAACTTGCTCGAATGTGGTGGAATACAGAGATCAAATAGGGTTGTCACCACCTACTAACTACCACAAACAAACCATGGGGCAAGCCACAAACACATGTAGTGTATAACCTAGACACCACATCTATCTACACTATATCTTACTACTCTAGTCTCGATCCCTATGAAAATGATTAGAGTATTGAGTCATGGGTGGTGAATTAGTGAACCACAAAAAATAAGTACTTACCAACTCTAAGGATCAATTACCATAAAAATCCCCGATGCTTACTTGCAAACAAGTCTACATCCATCGAGGTACAACTTGTAGAAGATGCCAACAAACCCAGCACTCCACACTCTCCTCACTCTCTCCCTACTGTAGAATGAGTAGCTTCTCCTTGGTGTCTCTGAATGAGAGGGTGTGAGGGGGTATTTATAGTGTAGGATGTGTCTTGGGGGAGTGGAGACGCTTCCTTGATTCTAAGGAACATTCTCTTTTGGTTGGCTCATGGATCCAAGTGCTCCAAACCTCATCCATTAGATCAAACAACCATGAAATCAATGGTGAAGTTGGAGCAGAGTTGTGTTTCCTTGCATAGATGGAAGATGGAGGTCAGTGGGGCCCCCTGAGGGTTGCCCAACCAGGGGGAGGGGTCCGTCGACCTCCCTAGTGACCCGTGGGCCCTCCTGCTCTTTTGTGGGGTGCTAGGTCCATATGTCATGGTGAGGTGTGAGTGATGTTGGAGTGTTGTCACATTGAATTCTTTATAGTTACGAGTCCATCAACCCTTGTGCCTTGCATATCCCCCGTCCAGAGAAAACACAACTTGCACCCGATAGTTAGAAATGTCCCAAAATGTGTTTATTTGCTTATCACATGGATTGGACCCCTAGGGCCCCACATGGAGGGGCGATCGACCCCTTATGTGGGGCCACGGTCTCTGCTTTGCTCCATTTTATCCCTGCATTCAAATATACTCCATGTACATATCAAACCAAGTTATTTGTATAATAAGGTCATGCTTTGCTTGATTCCTTTCATTTTGTGACATTTTGTTGACGGTTTTAACCATCCAAAATCATGACAAAATGATCGTCAACACCATGCTCACACCTCCTACTCGTTGATGGGGGAGGAAGCTGGGTTGCCAAACAGGTTTGGTTTTGCACAAGCCAGCTTTCACAAATATAGAACCAAAAGCTACAAAACTAAAAGGTAAGCCCAAACAAACACATGCTCTAAATCCTGCATCGGACTTTCTTCGAGAGCGTTTGGATACAAGTGACTAAACTTTAGTCTCTGTCACACTGGATGTTTGGATGCTAATTAGGAGTATTAAATATAGACTAATTACGAAACTAATTGTATAAGCCGTGACTAATTCGCGAGACGAATCTATTAAGCCTAATTAGTCTATGATTAACGAATGTGATGCTAACATAAACATATGCTAATTCTGGATTAATTAGGCTTAATAAATTTGTCTCGCGGATTAGTCAAGGCTTATGCAATTATTTTTATAATTACTTTATTTTTAGTCCTTCTAATAGACATATAAACATTTGATCAGGAAGCTTTAGTCATCGGATCAAACACCCCCAGTCCTCCCCTTGGTCTCCCTTGGGCCTTGAGAACAACTATTTGAGCCCAATCAACCAGCCAACTTTTCCAGCATTTTTTTTGAAAGAAACCAACTTTCCAGCATTATGTTTCCCCAATCATCACCTGATGCGACAATTAGATCCATTTTAATTAATAGTTAACTAATCTATCTAATCCGATCCGTTGAACCTGTTGTAAGCCGCGCCTTGGCTCGTCACTACCATGATTTGGTAACGAAAGCAGCAGGAAGGCGGCGGTGTAGGCGACCCATGGCGCCACAGACGAGGAGAGAGAGGGCGGTGGGGGAGGGGCGGTCGAGCTCGTCGACGCCGACAGCGGCGGGGCCGGGGGCGGTCGAGGTGCAGCGCCGGCGGGTGGGCGGCGGTTGGACGAGCCGCCGGATCTCCATCTACGCTTCCCGAGTCTTCTTCCTCCTCATCATGCTCCAGATCCCGCTCTTCAGGTCGGTAATGAATCGCTGGAACGCTCCCTCCCATCAACTCCCCGGAGCAATAATCAACCAGATTTTTTTGCTTTCTCCGTAAATTGTTCAGTTCTCTTAGATTTCTGCGACTTGCGACTTTATCACTGGGCGTGCTTACGTTTTGGTGCTAGATCCATTATCGACTCACTCATCATTAGTACTCGCGGGCCTTAACTTTGCATAGAGGGGGGTTGAACGCTGTATTTCTGATTCACTGCAGTTGTATTTTATTTCGATACCTTGTTGTGGAAACCTTAGTGATCAATTCTATTGGTGCTGGTGCTTGTTGTGATTGCCATCTAAAGAACGGAAAGCTGTGGAATGTTTCAATGAAATGCTACTGGTTAGGGGCTACAAGTATCAGCTTTAGATTGCAAAAATATCAACGGGTACCATCAGCTTTCATGTGCCAAGTGCCAGCCAACAATTTTCATGTGGCTCAACTCCATCCACCTTGAACTTTGAGTACCTCTTCACATTTAACGTTTATGCACATAAACAACACTGCCAGCAGGGTACATGTTAATGCATGATTGCAGTGGAGTAGAACAGAAGCATGGGGTGAAAGGATATTGATTGACTCTGCATGTGATTTTTTTCCCCTTCAAATCAGTGACTGCAACACACACATAATATAAGACTGCAACACATGCATAATAAAACTAGCATGAGTGGGTTTGGGTTACCTCTGATTGTGCATTACTTATTGCCCAACATACATTTTCTAGATTTAAGGGACTCAGCCCCTGTCCATACTCCATATATGCATTGCACAACACAAAGGTTATAGAGTTTACAGCCCCAAATTAAAAGATCAGCATCTGGCCATCTGCTCACGAAACCACATGAAACACCACACCAGGTGAATTACTTGTCTAACTTGCCTACTCTCAAAGCAAAGCCGTTACCAGCATAACACATAACATTCATACAATTCAGTAACAAGGAGTTATTCTTTTCTCACTTGAAAACACGTGCAGCTGATAGCACACCTTCCTTAAACTTTAGTGCAGAGCTCCTCCAGTCCTCCTACCTGCCTGCAGCTCACTGGCGATCATTTTGCCCAACATATTGATGGTAAACGATAGTAATTCATACATTTTTGTAAGTTGTTAGTTCGAACCTCCCCCCCTATATGAATGAAGAACATAAAATGCAATAAAGTATGATGAAGAAACTTAAGATAACCCTCTTAAGATATCTGTGTTTGAGCTAAGCATAGTATAAATTCCACTCCAAGCACCAAAGATGCCAATAGCAGTGGCCAGATTGAAGAGTGAAATATGAAAAATGTTTTCTCCATGCTCCAGCAGGCAGCAGTTAAATTTAGAGAATCCTTGACTGGATTTTAACAATAGATATGTATGTATGGATTGTTCTTCTTCTTTTCCCAGCAGTTTACTTGGATCATAGTTTACTATCATTCCTAAGAACTTCTGTTCACCATAATTTACTATTACCTCTGGTCACAACAATGTTGGATCAGACCTTTAAAACTACAAACTCCAATGACTTTTACATTGTTTAGTTTGGAAATGTGTAAGTTATATGTGTACATTAGTATTTGAAATACCTGTGGAACTCTTAAATTTGAAGGATTTTAAGAGTGGAGAGTATATTCTAGAAGAAACTATTGGTCGAAGATATGCATTCAAGACCATGCAAACTCAAATGTGTTATTTTTGACCAGAGGGAGTACCATCATAAGAAAAAGTACTGTCCTTTCATAAACCAACCGACCCCCCCCCCCCATGTACACTTCAGTGACTGGAAACCTTAGGATGCAGCAGTTTCTGGATTTTGGCAGTGTTTAAGCCTTCTTAAAGTTTCTGTAGGCCTTTTGGATGGGATGGGAGGCTGGGAACCAATTTTGAGAAAAAGCAAGAAGGCAACTTGAGATTATATACTTTTCGTAGAAAATTCTGGCAGCTTGTGTTTATATTCTTACAGAATGAGGAATACTTTTTCTTGTGACTAGAACTGACTTCAACTAGGGTTTGATTTTAGCACATGTTGGTCTATGGTTGCAAGGTAAAAGAAGAAAGAAGAAAAGCATGTGAGAATTGATATTACTCTGCTTGTGGTGAAAAAATGTCAAAACGGCAAAAAGAGATCCGTGTTATGGTGTATAACTTGTGACTACAAAAGGTACCTGCAGTGAGAGATTGCCCTTGGTGCATGTCTTATTGCATTTGACAATATAAACATCCCCATAATGTGAAAAAAGAAGATAATTAAATGTGATGAAGAAATTTGAGTTAATATCTGCATTTGAGGTAAATCAGTATGCATTCTACTTCAAGCAATCAAGCCACCAAAGAGGTACTTAAAGTGTCCAAATCGAAGAGTAAATGTAGTTAATAAGCCCTGCTTCCTAAGCAATTCCTAGATAACTATGCTAGTTAATTACAGTCATTAAAGACCTCGGGCAACCCAAAAGGTGTGTACGGCTGCCAAGGCACCTATCTGATTAGCTATGCTCTAGTGAGCTGTTTGTAATCAATGCAATGTCTATCTCTATATATAATCAAGGAGACAGCCTGGGGTTTGTGGCTGTTCAGGCTAATCAAGTCTGAGTTACCTCCAACAGTAAATGTGTGAAAAAAATTATCTCCAGGTTCTGGCAGCCTGGGAGGCAGCATTTAAATTCTGAGAACCCTCGACTTGAACTATGCTTGATTGTTCGACTTCTTTCCCCAGGAGTGTACTTGCACTGAAATTTGCTATCATTCTTGAGTAACTTTGTTGGACCTGTGATTCAGTTTCAAATATATTTCTGGAATTATCAATGTTCTACAAACATTTTTCTTTAAATTCATATAGAGAAATATATCTTGCCTTTCTTTTCATATATTTTATGTTTCCTTAAGTGTACAATAACCTAGTTTCACTACTTTTTTACTACTGAACCCTTATATTGATGTTTGCATTTTTTAATAGAATTTAATGGTCATTGTTTATAGGAGTTAATTGGAAGGATTAGAAGAGTTGGAGTAATTTTTATGAGCAGGAACATAATGTGCTTAAGGGGATTTCGCTTGCTTCTGGCATTTCAGGGTCCCTTGTAGAGCTGGCACATGCACAACTCCTATTCAAATCACATCGTCTCAGTTGGTCTCAAATGAGATATTCCCACCAGCTGTTGTGAAGGCCATGCTCTACCCTGGAGCTATCGTCAGCAGCCTAACTAAAAGCAAGACATTTCCGAGTTGGAGTGACCTGTTTGACATATACAACCTGACAGAAGCCAAAAATGCTTCTGCAGTAGTTGATCTCCAGCGTCTAGAGGTTCTTTTTTTTCTATAACCAATCTACATCTTTTTCTGGTACAATGCTTGAACTCTTTAAATAACTGTCTCTCTCCTTAATCAGATACTTGCGGGAAGCTACTTCTGTGTTGCTGGAGCGCTCATTGGCATCATAAATCCTGGGAGGATGACTTTGTTTGGTACCCTTTTGGTTATCTGGGGTCTGGTGAAAGAAGCACTATTTGGGAAGCCAGTGAACAGCGATCCGACTCAATCAACTTATGTCTACCCAACCATTTTGATTGCACTTATGTGTGCTTTCATATCAATAACTTACAATGTAAAGAAGACAGCAAGAAGTAGTCCTCCTGTTTCTATTGCGAAGCCGCTGAAAAGTTCTGCCAAGTCAAAACTGAAGTAGACCCTATTACAACTTTAATCCTTGTAACTCAATCCAAATATTTATTTATGTGCAAAAAACAGGTTTGAGGATGACCTGAGGATGTTTTCGGTGTATATCTCATTTTCAGTACTGTAACATTCAGTTTTCTCCCTTGTATTAACAGTTCACAAGGCCACGCCCTCTGTAATGTTTACCAAAAACAGCTAAATCTTTGTTTCCCCCCAATAGTTCTGCTGTTTAGGCAGGTTTAGTTCAGTTCTATATTGTGTCCAATAAGATTGTAGTCTATTTATCACAAGGATGCAAAGTTGTAGTTTCCTGACAGATTCTGGGTTAGTTGTTATTCTTCTGTGTTTGAATTTTCATTTTGGGGTCATGGTATTTGGAGTTATTAAAGAAATTGTTCAGAACTGCCAGCTGATAAACATCAATCATACAGATTGAAGTGAGCAAGCGAGGACACATGCAGTGGTTACACCTTTTCCCAATTGACAAGGTGGTCCATCATTTGCAGCAATATTGCTGTCCTAGGCTCCTAGCATTTGTGCTGTTGTATTGTCCAACAACGGCAAGGCTGCATATGCAACTGCAAGTGGCTCTTGTTGCCCTGTCTCTTGCTCTCTAGTGACGTCTGGGTCTGGCAGTGGCAGATGATTACACCACATGTGGAGAGATGAGATGAGCCCCACTATCATGTGAGTATTGTCCCTTGGGGTTGTCTATATCTTGTACGCTTCCTTTCTTCCTTTTTTGCCGACGAAAAACTGGGGCTATGATTTTTTTACTACCCTTTTTAACAGCTGAAAAGCCTGATGGTGAATCTTTAGAAGCCAGCAATGCCAGTGGAGATGGAAGTTGATGTTTGCTGTGAGCTGAAGAGATAACCTTCTTTGGTTGAGATGTGAGGCAGTTTCCAAGTCACCAGTCACAATCTTCCACATTGCTTCCTCTTGGTTAGAGCCCTCATAAAAGATAAAACAAACATCTTCATTCCAGTTCAATAATTGAGATTCCTCTCTGTCTGTTCCCTCCTTCCTGCTGTTATAATGATTGTTATTGTTAGCCAGTCTGAGTAATACATGTGCATTTGATATTGTCCTTGTTTACTAGTAGTTAATAGCTGTTAAGATCTAAGACCAGCCTTCCACCAACAAAATACATACAGCTTCCACTATAGTCATCTGTCTTCTGGGAAAAAGAGGTATAATCTCCCAATTCTAGTTCTGCCTCTCCAGTTGCATCCTTCGTCACTCTCCCTACACACTGTCACTAGACTGGTGTTCAGACTTCACAGGCCTTGACTCCCATGGTTCAGATGTCTTTGCAGAGGTCAGTTTCTCCATGCTACTTCTTGGAATTCAGCTTTGTGTTTACTGGTGCTTAGTGTCTGTGATCTAGAATGCCACAGCTTTTACACAGTGATTCAAAACCTGTTCTTGCAGGAGCGTAGCCATATATCCTCGTTGCTCCTTATCCGATTCGCTGCATCGTGTGGGTGGTTCACGAAGAAGATGGGCCTCTTGTATGTCCCAGTCTTCACGTTTTGCTTATAATGCAAGACCATCTCCAATTGTTCTCAAGACCGACCATGCAATTGATCCCTCTGAACCAAAGAATTTGGATGCAAGTTCCTCAGCTTCAAGAAGTGGACCTTACATTGGGACTTGTCATCCATCAGGCGCAGCTGGAGTAATGGGTGCGTCTTCCTCTTCCTCCCTCAGATTTTTAGAGAAATTTGTGAGTTGGAGCACTAGAGGTAAAGAAGAGGCACCTCCATTCATCATCTGCAATGACCCACTTGTCAAGAAAGAGCTGTTGCCATCTGGAACCCAATCCACTTCTAGCTGTAGTATTGCTCTTGGGAAGTTAAGGCAGAAGAGGCTCTTCTTGGAGCAATCTGGAGCATGCTGTATTGTTATGCCATGCCAGTTCTTACATGCCTGGCACGATGAGATTTCACAGGGTTGCTCGGTTCCGTTCCTCCATGTTGGTGATTGCACTGTAAAGGAACTCAAAGCTGCTAACTTGAAACCTGTTGAGTATGGAAGTAATGTCCGTGTAGGAGTTCTGTTCACTGACAATACATTGGCTACAAACTGTTATCTAGACAAGCTGGAGAGCCAGGTAAACATCTTCTTTTTCATCAATTGTCATATGCTTAATGATACTATCTCTCTTTTTGAACGAAATGATAGTCTATATCTCCACTTTAATGTGAGTAAAGAGGTATTATGTTGGCTTTTGATATAAGTTAGGCTGATCCCTTTTAGTATAAAAGAAAAGCGGTATTTGTGCTTTGTAATTTTTTATATCTCTGGAAAAACGAACTAGCAGGATGTTGAATGAAATATTATTTTTGCCGTTGGTGCTTTGCCCAGGCATTCTATTAGAAGCAAGACCTTTCTTTGATAGTTCCTATAGGACAATTACTACATCACTGCATATGTATTTTCTACAAATTAGACAGCTCAGCTCCTACGTCAGTGATGGATGGTCAGATTTTTTCCCTTCACTTTTTATGATACCTCCCTTTGTGTGAAAGCTCAGTCCCAAAAAGATTGATAACTACAGGTCTGCTGGACTATTGTAATTTGTAGGTTGTTCATTCCTAGTTTGCCAGTCCCATGATAAGTTGTCCAATGGCATTTTTTTTCATTCTACTAGTGAGATGGCTTGAAAAAGAATTTGATTTGATATTTTCCTTGGTAATAATATTCTTCATTCATCCAATTGGGAGCATATGGTTAAATTATTTCTTGTTTAAATTTGTTTGTCAGGGTTTTGAGGTACTATGTCCAGATAAAGCTTCCATGGAGCGTACAGTGTTACCATCAGTTGATGCATTCAGGAAGGGGGACATGGAAGGCGCGAGAAACCTGTTGCGAGTATCGCTGCAGGTTCTTCTTGTGAGAGCTGTCAATAAGATAATCCTTGCGTCCGATGACCTTGTTGGCATTTTGCCTGATGATGACCCTCTGCTCAAGAAATGTATAGACCCATTGGATGCCTTGGTCGGAGAGGCCATTGCATGCGCACGAGCAGCACGGTCATGATATGACCTAGATTACTCTGTTTACACCTTGACTGCTGATGAGCACATATGTAAACTTTATAAGATAGAAAAAGAAGGATTCGTCTCATCAAGATCATCGTTGGTTGTTGGTTGAACACATTATGCATTTTCATCTGTGTTATTACGCTTCTGCCTCACAAGTTGCAACCAAGTCAACCGAGATGCCGATGACTCCATCTGTGATCTGTTAGCCCAGATATGTGAAAACATTTTGTGGCTGGCTACTGCAACGAGAAACTCCGAACAAGAATCTAGGAATCAAACTGCAGATGTGATGTTTCAGGAGATCAGGTTGTTGATAGAAGTAGAACAAAATGAAGACACCGTCGAATCTGCGGCACGCACAGGGAGCACATTCTTCCGTTTCAGATAAGTTGCAACCGTAGCTGTCGCAGTGTTTCGCTTTGGTATTTTTAGCCAGGAGGCGGAGGTTGTTGAATGGCTATCCAATAAATTAGAAAGAATGTATCCCAAAATTTTGGTGAATAAATACGGCTTTGTAAGTGCTGCAGCCATTACGAATTCTTGAAGACATCAATTCAGACGACAGAGCATCTGCGACTATATGATCTTCCTCTATCACAGTAGAATTACATGCCTGAACCTGCAAAAGGCAGCGATCAGTGTGTCATCAGGAGTTGCAACAGTGCATTTGACCTGGGAAAGTTGTTGGTGGGTCCATGGTCACTGGTATTCCAGAGAATCTACTGATTGGTGTGGAATGGAGAAGAGGGCATAGATGAATGTTCTGAGCAGGGGCCAGGGGGGCAGGTGGAACATGATTAGCGAGCAGCGATGCACGCTGTCTGCAGGCCCTGCACCAAACAAGTGGCGGCTGCCCTTTCTCCCAATGCTGGAACCAGAGGGTCAGAGGCACCAAGGAGGGGAAGGAAACCACCAATTGGCTGCCTTTGTTGAGGGTAAGGCAGGAGGAACTCAGGCTAAGACTGAAGCACTCGCTCTCCGCTTTGTGCATGCTCAACGATATGCATGGTCATGCTCATGGCTTTTGTGTGCTATCTATATATTCTGATGCTTCCTTCTCCTCATCACCTTGTCACAACCTTTCTTAATATACATTTTCTATTTTCATTTCACAAAAGGGTGGTGTTTCAGATCGATGATTTGAGGCATAATCATAGATGTAAGCGCTTGTGGCCATTGAGCTTGACCTTGGTGGTGGGGTTGTGTATGCCTGTCATAGACCGGTGCTATACCACTATTACATAAACCGATGTAAGCGCTTGTGTCCCTTGAGCTTGACCTTGGTGATGGGGTTGTGTATGCCTGTCATAGACCGGTGCTATACCACTATTACATAAAACCATATTAGGAGGGGTCTCTATTATTTTTTTCCTAGAGGCGGTTGGGTCAACAAACATCTCTAAAGTCTAGGGCATCCTAGCTAATGGACCGCTTCGCCGGATCTAGAGAAATACCAGGAGGGGGGTGGGTGGGTTGCAGTCTTATGCGCTAATGACACAAAAGATAGTGTAGCTTAATAGCACTACATGCAAGGCTTTAACACCAATATTTGAAAACAAGTGATAATGATATATATCACCAATGAAGTAGCACTAATAGGGCTTATCATTTATCAAATATATAGTTAGAGAATGCCACAATTAGAAACAAAAGATTGTCAACATTGGCAAAATGCAATTCTCAACTAACAAAGACCCTCACTAACCTTAAAGAAAAAATAACAAGCCATTAAAGTTTTAAGCAAAGAATCTAGAGAATGTTTCATTGAAGAAAGGAAAATATATGCATTACCACTTATAGATAAAATCTACGTCCTTTTTCCTTCCATGTCCATTAATAGATCAATCACAACATCATTTGTAACTTTTTAATCTTCTCTCTTCACATAGAAAATAAGTCTATTACTTAAGTGCGCATCATGCCCATGCAGTACTTAGAGATGTTTTCACAAACTTCATGCCTAAAAGTCATCTCTCCACTGTTGTTGTAGAAATTGGCAATACCAACAAAAGCTTCAAAAGTCAATAGACCAATGGATAACAATGATCTTTCCATGTCTCCATTTTTTGTGAAAGCTCACTAATAGTGTTTATGTTGGAGAATCGATTATCTTCTCCCACTTTGCATATATCTTGCACCATGCATCATATCCTTGGCATCTAACTTGAGACAGAAATAAGTTGTTTCAATCACATGCACAAGCCCAACAAACCTCTCTTTAAAAATTCCACATTTGTCAACATACCTCAAGACCACAACCATATGTTCTCTCCAAGAAACATCTCTTGAATCATCAGAGAGCAAGCAAAACACGTCATCTCCAAGTTCTTCAAGAATATAATTTCTTTTGCAAAATACTCAACAATGTTCGTTTGGATTTTATGAGCCACCATACAACTATTACCTACAATACCACAACCTTCCCTAAGTCTGGATCATGCTCTGCTAAGCAATCATAAACCTCCAAGAAATTCCCTGATTCAAAGACTCATTTGACTCATCGTGGCCACGGAAAGGCAAGCCTTTCTTCAATATTAGCATAGCAATATCAATAGATCCATTCAATTGAGTAAAATAAGCCCTCTTAGATGCTTCACATCTCTTATGCAAAACAATCCATTCAAGTGAGTAAAAGAAGCCCTCTTAGATGCTTCACTTTTCTTATGCAAAACATCTATGTGCTGATTTCTCTATAACAAATCATCACACTTCTTCATTGCAATATAGTGTGATCCACTAACAATGCGAACATGCAACTTTAGCTGCTCTTTCCTATGGTAACCATTATAGCCCTCAACAACAAATGCTTTGTATCCTACAACTTCTTTTCTTTAAACAAGAAACAACAAAAACAATATGCTCTATCTTTGGATTCACTATGTTCAAGCCAACTTCCAAACTCATCAAACCATTCTGGTTGAAACCTTCTTGGATTTTATTTCCCCCAATCTATGTGTAGAGAAAACTTCATGTGCGAGGTTGGCATGGCCCATTCTCCAAATGTTTCCTTATCACTCTCTCTCTCTCTCTCCAATTATGATGGTAAGAATCAATTTCCTTCCTTAAGCCTAGGTCATATTTGATATCCTCTTCCCAATTAATATCATCTAGACCACATGAATTCCTTACAGTATTACTGTCTAGTGCTTTTATCTTAAAAAACTTGTCATGACCTGGTCATGCCTAATGTATAATCATTGACATCATTAGAATTTTAAACTCACTTTTCAAAAACTAGCAGACAAAATTCTGCATTTACTGGGCTTTGTTATGCATTGATGGATGGTCCGGCGTGTCTCACCAGACGTCCGCCAGAATATGACCTACATAGAAATGAGTTGTCCATCTCTAGGCTCCTTGGACCCACATGATAGGCCACTTGTCCACCCCAGAATGAAGTGGTCAGTAGGAAGCACTCTCCACTCTGTCACACTCCCTCACTCTCACTCACTCTCTCCTTCACACACACTCTCTTGTTCTTGTTCTCTCTCTCTCTAGACACCACAAAGCAAGCAAGGATGAGGATTTGGAGGGGAGTAAAAAAGGGAAGGCCATGAAGATCACATAGAAGACCACCATGAGATCTTGCATGGTTGGGGGTAGAAGGGAGAGGAGCTCCCTCCCTCTAGCAAGAAGAAGGGGAAGGAGAAGATTTCAAGAAATGGAGGAACAAAGGAAAGGAGCATGAGTTGAGCCTTTCTCATCTTACTAAAGGCTAGTGTTGCATCTCCTCTAGCCCCTTGGTTAAGCTCAATCTCAAACACCATCACCAATCTAGCTAGTTCATCACCTAGAAAGCCACCCAAAGGAAGATTTGATGAATGGATGCTATGTAGCTTAATATACCTAGCTAGATATGCTCTATAGAACCCTAGGAACACCTCCAAAAATTAGCTTATACATGCAAGAACCCTAGGTGTGGATTTCATTTTCAACGCTACTATGAATATCCACATCTATGACGAACAACTTTCGTCACTGAAGGAGCCAAATTCGTCATAATTTTAGTTTTATGATGAATTTATGACGAAAAATGGTTCGTCATAGAAGTCGCGTCATTCTTGAAATTCTATGATAATTCTAGAAATTCATCATAGATGTGAATAGATCTATGACGAAAACTGACCATCATAGAACTGCTTTGGCATGCATGGCAGGGGGTAGCCACGCTGGTGGGTGCTTTCATTGGAGATGCTTTCCATGTGTACATGCTATAGCCGGTTGTATTGGAGATGGTTTGGGTACGTGTCACCTTCTTATTGCACAACGTGGCCATCTCTGGTTCTTGCACGTTTTAGGTTCTTACTGGACAACGTGTCGGGACCCGTTGTTTCACATGTCAGTTTTCTATTGGCACACGTGTCGTGTTGCGGTTGGGCCACGTGTCACTTCTTCATTGGACCATGTGTCATATTTTTATTGGTCCACGTGGCGTGACCACAATACCCCACGTGTGTTTCTTTTACTCGACCACGTGTTTCGATTTTGTACGTCCGTGTGTCAGTATTTTATTGGGCCACGTGTCGTGCCCTGAGCTACCCATGTGTCTTTTTCTGATTCCACCACATGGCAGGATGGATTTGTACCACATATTTTGTTTATATTGGCCCACGTGTTCTATCCTGGCTCTTACACGTGTCATTTACTGGTTCGTCCACATGTCAGATTCTTATTTAACAACGTGCCTGTGCTGGATCTACCACGTGCACACCAATCATTACATCAGAAAAAATGATTTCAGATCTACACTGCTACACAAAAATGACTACATGCATAATTATATTGAACCTGAATCAAATAATAGCAGTTTAGCTCAGCAGCAAACCACTGACAGAGTTCACATATCAAGCCACCAAAATTTCACATCAAAACAACGAACAAACCACATGTTCACTACATCAACAAGACTGAGAGTTACCAGCGCTTAAGAGTATGATATGCTCACGGAGCTTATTGTACTCCTCATGTTGCTATTTCTTGAACTTCTCAAACTCT